GATTCGCGTGGGCCCTCTCTCTCCCTTTCCTTTGTATGTACCGGGAAGAGAGTCCCGAGTACAGTGTGTCGGGCACCCCTTCGTTCCGCGGTAACGCAAAGAGTCGCTATCAAATATGGTGGCGTTGTTTACTCAATGTTGACGAAGAAAGAGAAGGATCCTAGGAGGTTTTTATTTCAGCACTGACCATTGCCGGGTGGAAGGGTGAATAATGTTTGCCACACGACACAACTTTCCATGTGGCCTCGGTTGAGCTGGCCGGCGTTAATTGCGAATCACGAATTCCAGGGCCCGTGCGATGGATGTATATCTAGTTCACGATATATCACTCGACTTCACCATTTCCCAAATTTGTATGTATCGATTGATTTCACTATAGCATCTCACACATGTACGGCTGCTAAATTTTGTTATTCTGCCTCCATTGATACGAACGGATATGTAAAGCGTACAAATCGCCCTCAATACACGTATTTAGCTACCAAATAAACGACTATCTAAATTCTCAATACTTAACCCTTACCACGGCAACGATCTAAGCATAGCAAGTGCTACGTCTAGTGACAGTAGAATCGTACTTGCAGTAAGTTCCGTCATTCCCGGCACCAGTCTTGACAGGCTCATCACCATCATCGTTACCAGTGTAGCGCTGACAGATATCAGTAACCTCAGAGGTGCAGGTGTCGGAGATAGTGGCGGTATCTATTTAATCGCATCAGCTATTCTGCCTACAAGGGGGAAAGGGGGGCCAGAATGATAACTCACCGCCATAGTTGGTGTTGATCCCAGCAAGAGTACTTCCATCAACAGCAACAACACCAGAGGCGACAAAGGTGCGCTTGTACTGAGTCCCGCAGTTTCCGCACGAGCGGTAAAGCTTTCCAAAGTCCTCAACGAAGAAGTCCTTTACATTGACGGTACCACCACCATTGTGCTGGATAACTACAAGCTATTAGTCCCGTGCGAATGCACCGCGGGAAATGGGAAAACTGCCATACCTTTGTCGGAAGCGTGTTTGGCTCCACCACCAATGATGTATGAAGTACCAGATGTCTGTTTAATCGTCAAGGCATCTTCGCAGACATCCTCCCACCACACATTCTGAATCGTGCAAGGACCGTTGCAGTGAACACCTTCAGTTTGAGCAGATCCGATAATGACGTTCTTGAGAGTGGCTCCGCTCGCAAGGATAAAGACGGCATCGTCGTCACCACCCTCGCCTTCATTGCAACCATCTACAGAAAGATTCCTTCAGTCAAAGCCCACCTTTGATATTCTGAGCTGGACGCAACTCACTGTTTCTGCTGAAACGCTTCATGCCACCATCGTAGGTTCCAGAAACCGAGATCGGAGCAGAGACTGTAGTAGAGCTTGCTGCACTGGGGAAGACAGTGGTGGCAGCGGCAGAGACATATGTCACAAGACCGGCAATGGCAACAGAACTGGCAAGAAATTTCATATTGGGCAGAGACGAGTAGATATGATCAGAAGACTTTGGTGGCAGTGAGTGGTGATGAGAGATTGAAAGGGTGGAAATCTCAAAGACTTTATACCAGTCGACTCCAAACCCTGGAAACCATGAATAGAAGTGTTGGTCTGGAGTTGATGGGTCTGCAATTCTCGGAAACCTTGAAGATACTGACTACAGTTCACTTGATTCATCGATTCGCTCTCAATTATACCGAATAGTACACGTACCGGACCGTACTGTACTGTCTACAATATCGGAGCATCTTGAGGTGTGCAGAGGTGGTCAGTGCTCGCAGTTAATTGTGTAAGTACTAGTGAGTATATTTCCTCTTGTGTGACTCCACCACTACCACCACCACCATAAAGGAACGAAGACACATAGAGTTACCAATATTTCGGGCATTTCCCCGCTTGTCCAAGCCATCTCCAAGCCCTTTTATGAACACGTTTGTGGGGGAATAAGCAACAGCCGCAAGGATTCAGTGATCTTTCCCCCCCTGCTGCAATACTTTATTTCAGAGCCGCCAAGTGTTGGCATCACCAGGGTCTACATATCTCATGCTGTGTATTTAGACTTTAAGGAGTGGGGGGGTGGAGAGTGCAAAGTGGAGCTGTCATCTGCATGGCGTCTTAACGGTCAACGGCCACAAAAGGTACCGAGTCCCTAAACCGCGTGTAACACTCGGTTACTTGGGATATCTAGAAGTATCAGCACCTGGTTAACACACCATATACTCAAGGCCCTTACGGGTGCGGTCCTGTCGGTGATTGCACCCAGTGCCCGAAGCGTTACCCACTTCAATCAATATCATATGGCTCAAGGTCCCGGAACTTATGTAGTCATCGTTACTACTCCTTAATAGATGTGGTATATTCTTAATGCAGTGTCGGGGGTATTGTTCTTTCATAAGACTTGTCATTACATTTCAGCTGGCCATGAAGAGCTGTGTCTATTCCTAGAATTCCAATTATCCGCAATATATCCTCAGCCACTCGACCCACAATACACCAATTTCCATCTTGATCTTCCTATATATATGGTAAAAGAAGCGCCGTAGGGGTAGGATTCTAAGCTCTCCCACATCATCTTTGCCGAAGGGTTTCACAGGAATATATGGGCAGCAACGATGCCGCTAAGATGGCTCAAAGCACTTTTTTGTTGTTTGAAGAAAAATAATAAAAGGCGTGCCTGAGAGTTGACATACTGCCCATACGGAGCTTCTTCCACCATATATCATACCCTGCTCGGATTCTTGGAATCAAATCATTTCCCCTATGGGTTAGTTTGATCTTATCCCGGAGAAACTCAAAGAAGCGACAACCTTATTTGAGTATTGAACAAGGTTGAGTAAACTTCCAATATGCCCGGTCAACTCTATAGACTAATGAAAAGTGTTCAATATATTGGCGGAACCGGTACCCGGCCCTGTATGGCAGAAGAATTCCCGAAAAAACACGCCCCAGTGACTCGGCATCAATAGTTCCGACTCCGAAAATGCGCTGTCGAACTGATGATTATTATTATTTGAAGCTCACGATTATAAGAGTAGATATAAAACGAGAATAGTCAGCCAGAATCGAGCGAGCGACGTATGGGCTCGCATACCAAATCGCCGAGATGGAGTGACTGACTATGACCGAAAGTCCGCAAGTACCTACCTACATCTAACTGGCACTGGCCTGAGATTCTAGAACATCGATTAGTAATAAGGCCTTGTTGTCAATTCCCCCACATCTGAAGTGCGTTGCGGTAGTTTAGCGGATCGAGATTGCAAGATTACCGTGAAACGGGAGCGCGGCCCGCCTGAAATTGTCGGGACACTTGGCCCAGGCATACTTAATATAGTTCCGTATAGGTCACACGAACTTTAACTGATCAGCTGAAATATAAGAACGATGAAAAACAGCTACCTAACCCCGTGCTGCTCTTGTTCTCTTCACATTAGAAGATTTGATGGATTGTGTGCCGCAAACCGACTCGACTGATCTTTAGTTTCCGAAGTTCGAGGAGATGACCAGCCCGAATCAACTCTGATACACACACTATGCTTCAAGATATTTTGCCTCGTGTCTTATTCTGTCGGCGCGCGCATAAAGATTTGCCAATAATGAGGGGAAGGAGGATACAAAGTAAGATTCATCTTTGCTCTCCTATTGAATGTCTCTATGATGCTGACTAGATTTTATCGCGAGCTCAAAATCACCGGATTCATGAGTGACTGAAATCGTTCATGTGGTGCCGATATCCTAATAGCGCAGAATCTGGTTAGATGGGTAGTTGGCCAACTATCAAGCTGTCCTGGATTTTTCTACTCACTCTGCAAACAATTTGTGGGGTTGTCCATGTTGACCTCTTATCTTGGTAATGTTAGCCTTGGGCGCCAATGCAGGCTCATTGTATATGTAGTTATATTTCGTACCGATATAACTGCGGAGGGTGAGATGGAGAAAGAGAAGACGGTGGTGGATGTCGATGTGGAGGTGAAGGTGAAGAGATGGAAACGAAGCATAGGGTATCGGGGAGTGGGAAAAACCACAGAGGAGATATACGAATATCAAAAGAAAATGACGAATACATGTAGGGTACCCAAGCATAAACGTGCTAGGTATTGCGAATTGAACTAGGTAAAGTACCTACATGTACTCACATGTAATTATGCCAACGTCATATCTTCCCGACCGAGTTCATGAAACACGATTGAAAGATTAAATGTGTTCATGTTCGGCAAATGGCCAGCAGCACTCACTGCCTTGTCAGTATTCCTCCAGCTTTACGCCTTCGTACTACCGAGTCGGACTGATATTCAACCTTTCATTTCTGGATTTGCAACTGTTGGTAATCAGCGATAGATACAAGATGTATGCATGATATGTAAAACTCTAAAAGTGCCGACTTTCTGAGCTGCTTGTTTGGTTGGTCCAGGTACCAGGAACGAGTCGAGTGAGGTTACGCAGTACCAAGCCTGTTGCGGCTTAGTCTAGCCGTGCACGTTCCACCAGACGGACCCTGCGCTAATCTCTCGGGCGGGATAACCTTCTCTTCACGTGCGCCTGGGTCCTTCACGTGACCCTGGCGGATTTCCCGGCCGACAAGCTTTTTTTCCCTCCCTCACCTCATTTCAGTCTCAATACCGCCGCAGATGATGATGAATAAAGAACCGGAGAGTTTTCATCCCGACTTAAGAATCCGTCCCTCTGCCTCCTTCTATCTTGCCATATTTGATTGATTACAGATCTGTCGACGGCCGGCCCAGGAACATCCCGCGCCGCCAGCTCAGATAGGACAGCGGTAGAAGGCCTGAAGAAAGAAATGATATGAGCAAGTGCGCTAGTGGAACAATTTCAATCTTTTCTAAATACATGTACCGTACTTATATCGTGTGATTCCCCTTTCTCATCATCATCTTCATCATCATCACCACCACACACCCCGCCCCGAAGCTAGAGATATTCATCCACTCGCCTCAATTGCATCTTTGATCTTCTCCCTCTGTTACCTTGTAGACTTCGCATCACTACATAGTCTCAAAATGACTTCAAAAAACATTGTCATTCTCGGCGCCTCCTTCGCGGGTCTCCCCATGGCCCACTACCTCATCAAGCACCTCCCCGAAGAATACACTGTCACGCTCGTCTCTCCATCCACCCATCTATTCTGGAACGTTGCCGCTCCTCGTGCCATTGTTGACCCTGAACTCCTCGGCAAGGGCAAGGACGATCTTTTCATCCCTATCCTCCCCTCATTTGAAAAATACCCCAGCGGACGCTTCACCTTCATTCAAGGAAAGGCCGTGTCCACAAGCCCAGAAACAAACACAGTCACCGTCCAAACCGTCAACGACAATGACACGTCTCTGGACGTGAGGCAGGTGAACGTTGAGTACCTACACCTCATCGTCGCTACTGGTTCCTCCACCGCAGGTGGAGATTGGGCTTTCAAAGCCGCCGGCAAGGGAACACATGTCGCCACCAGGGCTGCCCTCGCAAGTACAAGAGAAAGGATTGCTGCAGCAAACCGTATCGTGATTTCTGGTGCCGGTGCAACGGGTTGTGAGCTCACTGGAGAAATCGCGTCAAAATACCACAAATCTGGAAAACATATTACCCTTCTCTCTTCCGCGGCCGGACTTCTCCCAGTGGCTCCCCCAGGTGTTGGAAAGACTGCGGAAGGCCATCTTACAAAGATGGGGGTTGAGGTTCGAAATAACGTCAAGGTTACCTCCGAAACCAAAAAGGGCGATGTCACCGAATTGGTCCTGTCAACTGGAGAGACCATCGAGACTGATCTCCACATTGCCACATGGGGTCTCGTGCCCAACACTTCCTTCATGCCTAAAGACCTCCTTGATGCGTCTGGCTGGATTGTTACCGACAAGTACCTCAAGACCCCTACCCACTCCAACATTTGGGCTCTCGGCGATGTCACCCACTGGGGTAACCGTGGCATCGGTCCTATCAAAGGTCATCATTCGTCTGTCTCTACCAATGTCCTAGCAACCATTGCCGGTAAGGATGAATCGTCCTTCAAGGAGTACAAGCACAGTGACGACCTCATCTTGATTGTCCCTCTAGGCCCATGGTTCGGAAGGGCTACAGGTATACTGTTTGGCTGGAAGGTGTGGGGTGTAATTGCGTGGGCGTTGAAGGGGAGGACGTATATGATTGACTTTGCTAGGCCAATCGCCGAGGGCAAGAATACCGCTGGGAGGACTAAGATTTAATAGCTGTTTCTGGCTTTGGGGGTTCAAAACTTTTTCTGATGTTTCTTTTGTAAGATACCTACTAATGACTTAATTTTCGCTATGTAGCAGCATAATACCATTTTCTTTCCATTGCTATCTGAAATAGCCCCATGAGTGAGAATCGGTGATTAAGTGTACTGCCAATGACTGACGATGCAACTATACTTCATCGAGTCGATCAACAGGGCATAGAGGTACCTACATGTAAGTCTATTGAATGTCAGTGATCACCGATTGTACTTGCATCAAGACCAATCGATTTATGACATTATGGGGAAATATTGTTACTGGGTTGGTGATCGAACTAAATATTGCAAAGTCAAATTGATGGATGTTTTTTTTTTGCCGAGGCCAATTGTGAATTCTCCTCGAACCTGGAAATTTAGGCCTTATGAATTGTATTTGCACATTGCACCACCTGGGTCAAAAGCAAAAAAAAGAGGGAAAGAAATGAAGTTCACAAGCAGGTAGAGATAAATGCGGGGATAAGGAATCTCTAGTGTAGCTCAGGGGTGCTAAATTTCAAGAATTTCCAAAATGTTTCCTCGGTTACTCGGAATTGATAACCAGGGATCGCACACTCTTTAGCGTTAACCATCAATTCCTGCAAGTGTTTATAAGGATAACGATAGAATTACTACCCCGCATTTGCTATCCCGCCTCCATCTCCATCACCATCACCACTAGCACCATCAATCAATTGAAGGATTCTTCTGTGCGTACTCTAAACAGTGCTCGGATAAACAATCGAAATTGCTTCAGACTAAAAAACTGCACATAGGCCCTTACCAAACATCATGGCATCCAAAGCTTGCTGCAGCATCCCCCCTGTCGTCACCTCGGATTACACTCCTAAGGGAACCTACTCTGAAATCGGCGGTCTAAAAACATGTAAGTCACCCACAGTTCTTACAAAGTTAAAGATAGTATTGACAGGAATTGAACCACAGATGTTACCGGCGACAAGAATGCCAAAACCGCTGTGTTGGTAATCTTTGATATCTTTGGGTTCTACCCGCAGACCCAGCAGGGTGCTGATATCATTGCGGCTTCTGGAAACCACCTTGTAAGTGCAAGCTTTGAATTTTTCTTTTTCTTCTTTTAGTTTTTCTCTCACTGCGATAACGGACTGAGGACGATATGTAGGTTGTCATGCCCGACTACTTCTTTGGCTCGCCTATGGACATCAAGGTTTTCCCCCCAGACACCCCCGAGAAGCAGGCAAAGCTCGGGGCCTTCTTCGGTGCCGAGGCGGATCTTAGCAAGGCCCAGGCAAACACCCTCAAGTTCGTGCCAGCACTTAAAGAGGAGTATAAGTCGATAGAGGCTATGGCCGTCATCGGATACTGCTGGGGTGGAAAGGTACGCCATTCATTGTTCATCGCTAGTGGTGCATCTTTCTGACTGGTAAACTACAGGTCACAGCTCTCCTTTCTGGAGAAAATACTCTTTTCAAAACATCCATCCAGGTCCACCCGGCAATGGTCGACGCAGAGAATGCTAAAGCGATTACCATTCCCCACATGATTCTCGCATCAAAGGATGAACCCGCCGATGCGATTGCTGCGAGCGCAGAGTACCTGAAAAACAGCTCAAACGAAGCTGTCAGGACCAGATCTGTTGTTGATACATACCCCAAGATGTTCCACGGCTGGATGGCGGCCAGGGCCAATCTGAGTGATCCCGAGAATGCCAGCGAGTATGAGAGAGGGTAAGTATAATCCTTTCTTTCCGGGGGCCAAGGAGGTAGATTATAGTTTTTCTGATACATATGGCGGTGCAGATACAAGCAAATCGTCAACTACCTCCAAGACAACTTGACAACCGCGGCGTAATAAAATTCCCTGGATTCAATTTTAGATTTGGGAGACATGGGGAACTGACAAAGTAGTGTGATTCTGGCCTGGGCTGTAGGAAAGCCTAAGGCACGGATTTAATCAGCACATTGTATAGACCTGTACCGGTCTATATACCCTAATAAAACCTGGGGGAAAGAAATAAACGCAGCTTGAGTAGCATTCTTGGTGTTTGTAATATCGATAAGCTGTGGCGCTGCAGGCTGCGCGTCGATTACAGAAGTGCTTATTTAGTCCTTTACCGCGCACGGGCAACGCAACACTTTTGTGTAACTGATGATATGATTCGTTATCGAGTGATATCTCATGCTAGACTGCACCACGAAGTGCAACTTCATCAGGTTCCGTCAGCAGAATTCGCGAGAGAAAAACCGCGTGATTCTCCATGACTCCCTTGAAAGAGAAGAAAGACCCCACTCGGACCTACGTCAGATCCAGATCGCTCCTGCCGGACCAAGGCAACAAAACACACCAGTCCCAAGCCATGATGCGCGTCGTGTCTTTTATCCCGGTCCCTTCCTTCCACGAGGCTACATTCGAAAATGCACTGCATGCACTCGCCAGAATCGGCACCACAACAACAGACAGAACCTCAACCCGGCAACTTCAGAATCCATCGCCCATTGGACGCATGAGCCAAGTGCACAATTTCCCCAATTCGTGTCTCAAAACCCCGCAACACAACGATCGTTGCAGTTCATGCTTCCCAAAATAATCTAGAGCTACTTTGTTACTTTTGCGATAATTGGGTGACATGTCCAGTAATGAAAAGCACAAGCCAACCACAGGAGGGCCATCAATGTCAAGGTGCCCTTTTTCTCGGCATTAAGCCGGCCGGTTGACTGATCGCCCAGAGGTCTTTTTTCAGCCGTGATGGCGAGGGATCGACGAGTGGCAGCAGATCTGGGCTGTGGTTGGCTGGAGCGGTGAAGGTAACCCCACCAAGTGCTTCTTGGCCTACAATGCGATGCGGAACGGAGCCTTTTGCACCCGCGTTCTTGTCTGTTTCTAGGCAGTGTTTTTTTGTGGCACGAGTGTACAGGAAAGAGCTATTCTGGAGGACCCGGAGAGTAAACAAAACACGAGTGACCAGGAATGAACATGCGTGAGAGAGAGAAATAGAAATGCTGCTACGGATTACTATTGATACTCTTTGACTGACTTACTGACTTACTGACTGACTGCCTGGGCTGGGGGCGGGCATGTGGATAAAATAGAGTTGTTTTTGCTACGATTATTAGAGTTCGGATGTCAGGTTGGTGGCTGGGGGGCTGTGTAAAGATATAATGTTCAGGGTTTTGGGTTGGTGGATCCGGGGCTGATGCCTGCTTGGCTGGAAAGTGCTCTATTATTACCTCTGTGCAGCAGCCCTATGCATGGCACCCCACCCCGGATCATCTCGACGAGTGGGTAGGATTCGTGAAGGAGGAATCGGAGGTAGAGTAGAGAGAGAGAGAGAGAGAGAGAGAGAGAGAGAGAGAGAGGTCATGCTATCGATTGTGGTAGAGCAGAGTGGTCGTTTTCAAATCAGTCCATCAGTGAGTGCCATTGATGTCAGTGAGCGAGCTGTGTGTGAGCGAACTGGAGCTATCGGACGAGCTCGCTCTTTGCCTTCTCGAATAGGTAAGGGGAGTTGAGGTCGGCCAGCCACCAGTGTAGCTCTAGCTCGGTGCTACTCTACGGTCTCTCCCAACTACCTACCTACTCGAGAGTCTCGATAGATACTCTGCCTGATAGGCGCATATATGACCACCACCATCGTATGCATTATCACCACCGCCGTCCCCTGTCGTTGACCGACCCCCGGTGTATGCACGTACTAAGCCGTAGGCTGTATGTCGGCCGCACCCTGACGGTTTTTCTGACTCGCAAGAGTCAAGATATCGACATCTCAATCCAACAGCCTGTCTTACTGTATCTGCACTTGCATTGCCTTGTCTGGTAAGCATTCAGGCAGATCCATAGCCATTTGCATATGGTATAAGTTGAAGTGAAAGTCCCCCCCACCACCATCTATCGGGCCCACCGCATCTTGAACAGACACTTCCAGCTTCTTCTCCAGCTTCATTTTGTACCGTTTTCCAAAAAAACACCCAGTCAATTCGCAAAATGAAGTCCTTCATTGCTATCGCCCTCCTCTCCCTCGCTGCCTCCCTCTCCAGCGCCGCGCCCACCCCCGTGTGCAGCCCGCAGAGCACGGCAACCGTCGTCAAAACCGTGACGGTCGACGGCCCCAGCCCAACTTCCGGGGCGCCAACCCCCTTCGCAACGCCCACCGGCCCGCCAATCACCCCCCCGCTCCCGCTCCAGGGCTACCAGCTTCCCGTGACGCTCCCCAACGGCGTCGTCGCCCTCGGCGCATATCTCCAGGTCTCCGTCGAGGCCGCGCAGCCCGACACCACAATCTACGAGACGAAGCAGATCGGCCCCGATACCTACATGGCGTTCGAGTTTAACTTGACCCACGCGGGAAAGAAGTGCCGCTTCCACTTTGCCTTCTCCGCAGGCGACGGCACGAACGGGTACGGGTCGCAGGATGTCTATGCGCTCACCAGCGGAGAGGTCACTGACGAGACTACGTACAATAACAAGCCGGTCTCGAGCGCTACGAGGCTTGCGTCGTTCCTTCCGGGGCCGAAGGATGATCAGCAAGAGAGACTTCAGTTGGGCGACTCTTCGAACGGGGACTCGCTGCTTCTCACGGCTCAGAAGGAAGATTTTGATTGTCCTACCAAGCCCACCGGGTATGAGGTTAGGGGCGCGGGCACGATCAAGAGCAGCGCCAACTGGAGCTGGAATCACGGGCTTATCATCGAGGTCTTGGATGAGTCGAAGCCGTGGGCCGATGGCCTGAAGTGGTAGAGGGGGTTGGTCGGGGCTTCTCGTGTAGCATATTATGTTAATCATGGGTCATGATTTCTTTTGTCTGCTTCTCTTCGTTGTGTTGGATATGTTTGGGTATGGTTTAGTTTAGATCTGTGGGCGTTTGGCACATTTTCGTTCCTTTTGGTTCTCTTTTTTATTCACGGCTTGGGATTTAAATGATCAGTAGGTTTATAGCTAATTTATACGATCTTTTAATGACTACGCGGTATCAATTGAGGGTGATGTTGTGACTTTGTCTTCCTGTGTGTGTAGTAGAGGTACGTGTAGTTGGAGAGGCACGTATTGGAAGGGTACATACATACCGAAAGCTACATACCGCATCCAAGTATTTTATTGTTTTGATAGTTGTGTGAATTATGGGCCTGCAAATAGAATGAAATACGCTCCAGACACCCAGTAAAGGCGCTATATGTTTGTAGTTGTACTTACATGGACATATACATGTATGTACGTTGGTGCAATTGAAAAACAAGTAACCAACATGTTGTAAGTACTCAAGTACTAGATAATAGAGTATATAATCGAATACTTATAGTCCCGATAATTTCCACCTTAAACTCGACTCGCAGTTATGCTGCACTCCATACCAAAAACCGCAGCTCATTCATTGCCACCCAAAAAAACCAAAAGGAAGCCCAATAATCCCCAAAATAAATAAGTTCTGACAGGAGGTTCGACTACCCCCGAACCCTAACCTTAATATATAACCAATTATAGATAAATGATCGTTCAACGACCGAATGCGTTGTTCAGAGGTGCTGGGACTGATGGCCCCTCAGGAGTGACATAAGCCTATCGATTAAAAAAGGAAATTAGTAAACCGCAGCGCTCTGGGGAGCAAAATGGTAGTTAACGAATTTAAGCCTACCCTTGTCATGCCACCATCAACAATCATCTCCTGGCCGATGACGAAACTGCTCTCATCGCTTGCCAAAAAGACAACCATCTGTGCCTGTTCAATGGCCTCCCCGAATCTTCCGGTGGGAAAATGGATTTCACGGCGATGGCGCTTTGCTTGATCGGTGCCTAAGAAATCTTGGAGGACTGTTATGATTTTAGTATTGCGCTTGTGAAAGGTGAGGTTATCTAGCCCATAAATTGTAACTTACGTGGAGTATTTAGGGGAGCCGGACACAATGAGTTGAAGCGGAAACCTGTTTAATAGATGTTAGTAAATATCGGGGTGCACTGCGTGGGACTCAATGCAAACCTTCTCTAGCATGCACCATGGCCAATTCTCTCGTCAATGCCAAAACTGCGCCCTTAGAAGCGGTATATGCCAGTTGTGCAGTAGCGCTACCGACGAGAGCAACAACAGAGGCGGTGTTGATGACCGATGCCTTTTTCTTATTGTGCTTGCGGAAGGACAGAACGGCGTGTTTGCAACCGTACCAAACTCCTTTAACCTAGATTTCTGATGAGAATTGTCATGTATCAGAGAGAACTGGGGATCGGGGTACATTAATTTTCTGCGTCTCATCCCAGACCTTCTCCGTACAATCGATAGCATCACCATCCTAAAATCAATATGTTAGAAACCATATTTTTCTAAAAAAATAAAAGCAGTCTAGAATTTGCTTTTTCAGCAACTTATATAGGTAAACTTACATCCGGGTGCATGATACCAGCGTTATTGAATATAACATCGACCCCGCCCCAACTATCTAATGCTGCCACCAGATTCTCGACATCAGCCTCTACTGAAACGTCGGTTACCTATTTCCCTGCGTTAGATTTCTCAGTGAAAGAAATTTTTGAGTATCACATATATACGTACATAGGACTCGATTCTAGCTTCGGGGGCAAGCTTTTTTGCCTTGCCGAGTGCAACCTCCAATTGATTCTTATTGACATCTGACATCATGACAGAGGCACCGTTCTGGGCGAATAGAATTGCCGTTTCGAGGCCGATGCCGCTGTTCACAAACGCCAGTCAGACTTCAAGATATGCTGCATAATTGGTAGGTCATATCATACCCGGCGGCTCCAGTAACAATACAGTTCTTTCCATCGAGTCTTCCCATTGTGAATATGGTATAATATCAGTTTTAAATATGGCAATGTTGTCTGATAGAACAGGGAGAATGGGGACAGAGACCTTTATATGAGGGAGGTTAACTCGTAACGTTCCGGACATCTAAGCTATGCCTTTCTTGATATATTCTGCCTCACTTTAGAAGCGGGGCATCTATTTTGTGGCGCTTATCTGTCTAGCTATCTGGGTTACGCTACCAATGAAGCGGGGAATTTTTTGGCTTGGCTGTAGCTACGAGGTTTTGTGTAAAGTACATGTAGACACACAGGTAGTAATTGACTGACAATACAGTACAGGGGTGCACGATGAGAAATCTTGTCTTCTGAGCTAAAACGTAAGATACTTGGATAGTGCACGTAGGTACATGTAGTTGTACTCTATGTGTCGTTGGTCCTCCAAATCAACTCCCCACTCCAAGATCCGTAACCTCCTCGCTACAAGTCTGTTGGAGAAAGCGCCTATTTACAACAAAAACAAACTACATATAGTTTTAAAAAGGACACCTGCAACACCATGGCAGGAGTATATACGCTCGAGGCGATCACTGCAGAGCTGGCTGGTGATGATAAAGTGAAGCTCGCTGGAGTAGATGTGGATGGGCAACTGCGCGGTAAGTACATCTGAGCCCGAAGTACGAGCGCTTGGTACCAAACTAATATTTTGGGCTTACAGGGAAGCTTATATCCAAAAAGAAGTTTTTATCAGTTGCAGAATCTGGTTTCGGGTTTTGTTCTATAGTTTTCGGATGGGACATGCATGACAAAACATACTTTCGCGAACTTCTCATATCCAACGCCCAGAACGGATACCGTGATCTTTTAGCGAAGGTAGACCTCCAAAGCTTCAGAAGAATACCCTGGGAAGATGCTGGGGGGGATCATACGAGCGGCTCACACGGCGTGCCATTCTTTTTGGTTACTTTTCATGACCCTGTCTCAGGGCAACCGGTACCACCTTGCCCAAGAGGGCTATTAGGGACTGTTGTGAGTAGAGTGGGAGAGAAGGGGTGGAAAGCTATGGCTGGAGGTTTGGTTTTTATCCTCAAATGAATTAGTGGAAAATTCTGACGCTAAACGTCCTTGAAGTCGAATACGAATTTTTCAACTTTCAGGAAACTTCAAAAAGCGTAAAGGCAGGAAGCGGGATAGATCTAGAGCACCTGACACCAGGAATGTTTGGTTATTCTCTCACCAGGCCTGTTCAAAACCAGGAGTTTTATTATAGTATTTTTGATACATGTAAGCTTTCCAATTTCGCAGATTCTTTCAAACCTTTGCAGGAAAATACCTAACTAGGCTTGGCCTAGATATGGAAAAATTAAAAGGTAACATTGTGTCTAGGCAAGAAATTCAATATCCCAATAGAGGGTTGGCATACAGAGTCAGGACCTGGAGTTTACGAAGCTGCTTTGGAGTTTGGGGAGGCCTCACTGATGGCTGATCGAGCCAGTTTATTCAAGTGAGTCAATACTTCCCGTGTATAAAAACCTGGCGGACTCAACCTTTCCAATTAGATATGTTGTCAAAGCGTTAGGGTCGAAATATGGCATAATGCCATGTTTCATGGCAAAGCCAAAAGAAGGGTTGCCTGGAAATTCAGGACATATGCACAGTAAGTATTCTCTTAGTTAGCTGATTATTTACATCTTGCATGCACCGTTCAAACATGCTACAAAGTCCACGACTAATTGTATTCCGACTTCTAGTATCCCTGGTCGATTCGGAAGGCAAAAATCTTTTTGCTCGGTCTGAGCCCGACACAAACCCTCCATATTCAGATGTATCACACCTTTCCGATTTAGGGCGTCATTTTTTGGCAGGAATGTTGGAAGGCCTTCCATCTATAATGCCTATACTAGCGCCAACAGTAAACTCCTATAAGCGCCTGGTTGAAAACTTCTGGGCACCCGTAACTGTGTCTTGGGGTCTTGAGCATCGTGCAGCTTCCATACGTCTCATAGCTCCACCGACAGCCTCACCAAAATCCACTCGCTTCGAAATACGAACTCCTGGGGCGGATGCTAATCCGTTTTACGTTCTCAGTGCGATCCTTGCCGCGGGCTTGCGCGGTATCGAGAAAATGATCGAGCTCACAACCCCCCCTCTCGGAAAGGGCAATGAAACTGGGGGCGGGGAGCGACTGGCAAGGAATCTAATGGAGGGTGTTAGGAAGATGAAAGAAGAAGGAAGTGTAGCGCGAGAGGTACTTGGAAATGATTTTGTGGAGCATTTTACAGGAACCAGAGAACATGAGTGGCGGCTTTGGGAAGAGGCGGTGACGGATTGGGAAGTTAAAAGATATGTTGAGACAGTTTGAAGCCTCATGAGATGATCTAAGAACTGTACCTACTGCACATAACCCTTTGTCGTAGGAATTGCGTCTTGATTCTTCATGGCACGATTACAAGTATTTACTATCTACCCCCTCAAATACAACCAGGAGGATGAGAATGAAATGAGTTCCTCAGTTCTCGGGTTACTTTTTGCATCTGTAGTTTGAGTATTGTGAGGTTCCAATTTGGCAAGATCGATATATAATTACAGTCAAGCATGCCATGGTTATATTCTAGTGATACTTCATGTTGGTGTGTTCTGAAAACCGAAATTGTTGTCTGCGTTTGGTTAATGCTACTAGGCAGGTGCTGGTTTCGAGATATTGGGGGCGGGGGAGTTGGCAAGATCTGATGGATTGCCTACAATTAATGGTTACACCACAGTAAGGTTATGTGATTGGCCCCCTCTACAGTCAAAGGGTCTATAAACAGTTTACCTACCATGGTCAGATCAAGCATAAAGAATTCCATCGGTCACCAATTAAGGTACATACATGTACGTATGCACATCTTTAGAAAGTTATGTTAAGTACAACATGTACTCTACCTAGGGTACCTACAAACTACATGTACCTACTCTTGACCCTTGCGGGACGGGCCGTAGCGCGCTACCTGCAGAACCGCTGGGCGGGCTAGGCGACAAGGCACACCCTGAGAGCAGCTTTCACGCTAAATGTAGTCACTTAAACTGATATGCTTCACCAAGTATACATGTATATCTACATGCAATGTTCAGCTAATCGTCATCTTTGCAGATGAGGTGCTTGAGTAGGTAGACAAGGAAGGCGTCTACACCATGCGCCTGTTCAGAAGGTCATCCATGCAGAATCACCTCAATAGGGGGTTGAGTAAAAAAAAGCGGGGCACCACGGCTTTTTTTCCCGGTCGTTTCTTGGACTATATATATGTCCTATGGTGTCTTCAGAAATATTGGGGGATCAGTCGATTGCCTAGGCTGAAAACAAGCTCTTGAAATCCTTACTTGAGTATTGTGTAAGTTACTTACCGAACCTTAAGAGATGCAGCTGGCTAATAGGATCTGTCATAGTTTTCACCCTTGAATCATGGAATTGGGATTTTCGGTAGCCGCCGGACCTCTCAGTCAAATCAGTGTTTCCCTATTCAGCGTGGAATTAGCCGTACAGCTTGCCACAGGGGCATACGGTTGGTGGAAGGTCCGAGAAAGATGCCATTCACTTGCTCAATTAGCAGAAACCAAGGACGCGCGGATATCAGCCACAAGTACTTTCAACTTATTAAGATACAGGCATAGAAGACAAGATAGCCTTATTAGGGGGGTTGCAAGAAGTCCAGACGGTATCCTTTCTTGCGTTACGTTGCCAAACGCTTCTACGGCAACGGATGGCGATGCGGGAATGGTATGTCTGAGAGCAGTGATTTGTGCTCTCTTATGTTTCTACAATACGCCAACTGTTTTAACGATCTTGGTTGATTCCCTGCCTGGTACACTCTATCACTCGAATCAGGACGGGGGTGAAGAAACTATTGAAGGGCCTTTGCTCTCTTCCTTGCGAGAGTATATCAGGTCCGCGGAAGTGGAGGAAGACAGCGATCAGCTCCGACAAAAGTTGCAAGAAATTGTAGACTCTAGGTTGCTCAATGTAACTACCGCAACGCATAAGGACCTTTTTGAATGCGACGAGAACTTGGAATCCGATGTTCCAAATATCGTTGGAGCCCTGAGATGGATTTTAACTCCTGAATTCAAACGAAAGTATCGAGTTTATCCAACTCGTTCTTTAAAAGTCTGGGCTTTGGCGGTAATAATGGCCCAACTTGGATTTGAGGTGGTTTCTGCAATGCACGTGATTTCATCCAAGAAAGAATATGAGGACTACATTGATAATGTCGGCTATCAGTCAACATATCAAGAGGTTTTCCTCGTCATAGCGAATAACCTTCCTACCGATCCTGGAACTTTCAGGGGCCCTCCCTTCCATGCTTCACCGAAGCCTCGAATTGGCTCTATTCGATCCATTCCCCGCATAGCTTTTCGACATCTCAATAACGGCAGTTCGGTTAATACCGTACTTCTGTGTGAAGTTTGGGACTTCACCTTCAACTACGTTCTTTCTCTGCTCCAGCCACCTTCAAAGATCAATACCAAATATGCGGGTTTATTTGAAGGAGAAGTTTTGTTTACAAGAGAGGCACTTGAAAGCTTCGCAGAAAAGAGTTCCTACGTACCTAAAAATCCCAGATTGACCGATAGCTTACAATGGCTCACTTTCCTCGTCTCTGACCCCCTGCGAAAATTTATGCCCTCGAAATTCTCTCAGATTGAGGATATTTGGGTTTTGACCAATTCAATTGGCCAATTTCAAGGCCTTACTGATAATTATGTGGATTTGCCTAAAGACGATGATGCAGATAGCTGGTATGTAGCTAGAGTGGCTGTTCTAGCCACAATATATGCTCTCTGTTGTAAATGGCTTTATCAGGATGATAGCATGGCAGATTTACTGGACACAGAAGTTGCTTTCTGTCCGTACTTCATTCGCCGGGGGAATCTAGCTCCGTGGACTTCGTTTGAATGTTTTCGCGTAAAACTATTCTCGGATAGACAGCCTTCGTCTTGGACTGGTGGCTGGGAATTTGGCACCTCGATGGGACCTGGGAAGTGGTTGCATTTACTTTACTTGGTTTTCGCAGGTGGCACTGAAAGCTCTGAAATTAAAAACAGGCTTTCGAGCGCATCGGCTGGTACCAATCACCTCAATACAAAGATACTCGGTTTCCAGAAGAACGGCATGGTAATGATTCCAGATATCTTAATTCATCCATCAACGGAACCAACATCTTGGTTCAGGTACCATCTATGTGTAGGGCAGATACTCGACCTACCGCTCGACCAAGACGGGTTTATATGTCACAGTAATAGATTTAATAATCCCCATATCGGGTGCAGTTTACCCGGAACAATTACGAAAACGGTGGAAATCAAACCCTCTGACGTACTCATTCGCCTCGACGTGGAACCTTGGTGGGAATTCGACCCAACGACCGTCATATTCCGGGTGAGGGTTGGCGGTATTGTAAAGGGGATATTCAGCCCCGAAGCCCTCTACGAAAAGAATATTTACGAACTGGATCACGTATGTAAGTGCCCAAGTATCAATACATCAATGATACAATTGGGGAAGGAGGTTGTAGTCTACAGCGTTTCCGAATATTTGTCTCTCAAAAAAGAAAAGCATAATTATGGCAGTAAGCCGATATTTGTACAAACGGGTGGGGATAGTACAGCACAAGTTGTTTGTATTTCTTTATCCATCTCTCAGTCTGCTCGGATCCGGAGAGGTCCAGTATCATGTCTAAACTATTTCAACAATGGCGATGTTATTTACGATTTTTATTTTCTTTGATTATTTCACTTATACCCCGTACTTTCATTTCTCATATTTGACACGCGAGAACACGGCTGTTTTGCTTTTTGTTTGAGGACATTGGATTTTAGTTTGTAATTTATTTATTTCCCTTTATATCTTTTGTAAGTTGTGTATGTGGTAATTGACATAGGTCCTTTGAGGTTTTTTGAGTCATTTGTACCCTACGAGACTTGCTAGCTAGAAGGAGCGTCCTTTAAGCGAACACAAGAAACATGGGCTGGGAATTCATGGCTGATATTATCACATGTACGCTCGAATTACAATACCTAAGATGGACTGATGGGTTTATTGGAGGTAAATTCAAGAAGCTACATCTTATACTTAGGTTAGGCCATGGAATACCTGATTCCCCAGCTAACGTTCGAGGAAAGCATTTCTATCAGAGCCTAAGTATACTTGTGCGATAATATACAAAGAGCTAGACCATGTCTAAAGTACATAAACTACATGTACTTACTGGTCGGTTTCAAGAATATTATATACGCAGCATAATTATATAAGTATATCTGTCCCGTGGGGTCGAACTAGTGTGGTCCACGAGACGAGTTAACTCCAGTCCTCGACTCGAGCCCAAAGCTCGAGCAGCCACGAGCAGCTACCCTCACGAGTCAGCGTTTTTTGCTGCTCGACTTGAAAAGCTCGAACTTTTAGGTGTTATCTCTCTGAATATTCCCGCCTGGAAACAATACTAGATATGCCCATATTATCCTTCCGCCATTTGATTTGTAAAATCTTGAAGTACTCAACCCTAACCCTAATAATATATGTTTGCACAAAGAGAGCTAGAATGACTTCTGGAACGCCTATCTGGGGCAACTAAAAAGCCCGAGCTCAGCTCGAGCAACTCGAGCTTTTACAAGTCGAAACAAGTCAAACAGCTGCTATCACGAGTCAAGTCAAGCTTTTCCTCGTGCTCGTCTCGAGCCGGCTCGTCGACCACACTAGGTTGAATTTGTTATCCTTATAGATTTCCTACGATCATCCCAGGTAGAATATAATGAAATGGCATAGTACCAAAGACATGAAAAAGAAACAAAGTATAACACCGAAAATATAAACCAAAATGTACAGTATTAAACGAAACGCCCCCCACTAAACGCCCGGACCAGTCTATAAACTTTCTCCAGGAAATGCGCGAGAAGAAAAAATGGTGATCAACCGTAATGATGATCTAACCTAGCCTAAGCGTACCCGCCGCAATCAACTAATTAAATCATATCTAGTTGCTGAGGCTTCGGTGTAGTGGGTGGTCTCGCTCCCGGCGTTGTTATTGTTTTTCGATAGCTTTCATAACTACTACTGGTCTCGCTCCTATTGATCACACTTGGCCCGAATCTATCCTCAATTATAGCGCTAGTTGTGTCTCGAGGCTTCTCATCAAGGTTTTTTGATGGTACCATAGGCGGTAGACTTTCGCGAGAATAGTTGTTTCCCTTCTCGAGATCGTACGGCGGGATACCCGTGTACCCATCCTCATGATACGCCGGTGAAGGTTGGTTCCATTTTTCCGGGGAAGTAAGATCTTTACTCTTCCACGCGGGAAAATTGAGATCCTTTTCCGACATTTCACCGCGAGAGATTGTGGCTGTTCCCAGCGAGGTTTGGTTGAGTTGAGGATAGTCGTATGGAATTCGATCATCTCTTGCATACGCAGAATGTGGTTCCTCTGTAATTCCCCAGATAGAGTCGGTTGATTCTCGACGGGTATTAATCGAGTGAGATGCAGCACGAACTCGACGGCGCTGCAGAGCTTTGATAACACAATGGGCGATAAAGCAGAGAAGAGCTAGGAACATCAGGCTGCAGACAACCCCTAAAATGATGAACATCATATTTCGATTCAAAGATGTTTTGTTTGTTGAAAAGTTGACCGCGGGACTAGTGGTGACGAAGGGTCCAGTACGAAGTCTAGCTGGATCACGTTGTGCCAACCCGTGCCTAATACCACCGGCGCTAATTGAAGCTGGAAAACAAGCTGTAGGGACCGCGCGGAATAATGGTAGTAAAAGAGTGACCAAGCGGGTGTGGAGGGTTAATGAACGGAAACGATATGGGGGTGCCATTAATTCAAGGGAACGGTGGGATTTTATACTGAGTACCGAAATTGTCACTGTTGATAATAATAGGGCATATACTGTGCTGTGCCTCTTCAGTACTGAGGATAGATAATAGGAAAGGTAAGTTTAGAAATAATGCGTAGTGTTTTGCCAATATCTACTGCTTTTGAAACTTTCGTGTTTTGCGAATTCTATCTCTTTTGAATCCCAAGAAAATGGGAAGATAGCTCAAATAACGCACCAGGAATGAAAGGAACCTCGGTGGAAATGGAGGCATTGCTTTAGAAATATTTTCTAGAGTTACTTGTATATACTACTGGAACTTTGTGTAGTTGCATAAGACATTCATTTTCGAGGATGTTGTCACCTTAGTTCTCTGGATGAAGTGTAGTTGACCGGTTCAGTACCCGGTAAGGCGACCGAATTGCAAATCCGGTAGACATGACGGCCGATACCTGTGCCACATGGTCCACATGGTCGATGAGCCTGGGGCTCAAGCAGGCTCTTGTGGCTTTGTGCAACGGCTGACTGGGCGGAATGGGGCGCTACTAATTATTAGGCTACATGTGTGTACATGGTGTACTTTATACCTGTGAGTAGAGTATATTCTTACTTAAAATACCTAAACAAGAATGTCAAGTATCTAGACGCACTAGCCATACCGAAGTTCCAACCCCAGGTATATTAGTGTTTTTTTCAGCCACTATCTGGAATATATATATGACCCAATATCTCTAATCTTCAGCTGTTTAGTACTAAGTGCGTACTATGTGCGTGCCTACACTACCGCAGCCACACAAGTCCTTGCCTGGGCCCTGGGCATACTAATTTTGAGCTCAATTCCCAAAGAGGATCCTTTGTCACGTGCACCTTCGTAGCCCACAGACCCAGCCCATACATGTACCGTCAAATGTATGTAAACTTAGTTAAGGGCTTAGCCTTAAACACAGTTTCTCACTCGAACATCACGCTTTGGGGGCAATACTCTCCGTACTGCTACATACATGTAGGTACTAACATACTCTTGCTATAGTATGTAGTTGCAAAGTGTAGAGTAGGCGTTTACGAGTAGTAGATCCGAGATAGTACTGGTGTAAGACGTCCCGGTCGATGTGGCACGGCACCCGAAGCTTACAAGTTCCCGATAGAGTACAGTTCCCCGCCCTGTTTGACAACATGTACCTATTCTCCGACCTTTAGTCAGTTCCAGCCAAGGCCGAAAAGATACATGTAACAACCAACAGCTTCCTATCTCACATCACCGAGCTCTGACAACTCTGTGGGGTATTCCGAGGGTTAGGGTTGATCATGTATATCAGACCGCCGGAGACTGCAGGTGGTGGTGGTTGTCCTCGGCTCGGCCACCGGGAAGGCTACTGTCGGCTCCTGCCAACTTTCCCTCCGCCCGCAATATTATTCACATGATTTGACTTCTCTCCTCCCTCTCTGCCCTTTCCCCGCATTCTACAATTATCATCAATCAATTGGTGTTTATCTCCTACCTCATATTTTAGATCATGTCCTTTTTGGCACGTTCCCTGTCGAGGTCTGCTGCCGTCCCTCGTGCGGTTTCTCGTCGTGTTTCCCCCGCGCTCTGCCGTCAGATCTCAGTCCGCTCGTCGTCCACACCAGTGGCATACCAGAGGTCTATCACATTACCACGAACGTTCTCCACAATGTCCTCAAGACAGAGCACCGTTCACGGAATCGTGAACCAGAACGAAAAACCTGAGCCTGATCAGGTTCTCCAGGACATTGCTGATTATGTTCACAACTACGAGATTACTTCTCCTCTAGCTGTATGTGCACCCCTCTTCTCTAGTGGTCGTATTCCGTCGTTTCTCCCGCTTCTAGACATTTGCCTAGAATTTCTGATGGAATTGAGATATTATGGCTAGTTGGGGAAAGCTGTTCTAATAAAGTGGGGTAGTGGGAAACTGCACGTCTGTGCCTTATCGATACCTTGGGATGCGGTCTGGAGGCATTGAAATTTCCTCAATGCACGGATCTTTTAGGGCCTGTTGTGGAAGGTATATCTTGTATTTCCCTCTCCCAATATCTCGGAACTAAAAAGGTTTACCAGGCACCGTCGTCCCAAACGGCACCAAGGTTCCTGGAACTCCTTACCAGCTTGACCCAATCCGTGGAGCTTTCAACATTGGTACTGCCATTAGATGGCTCGACTACAACGACTGTTGGCTTGCTGCTGAGTGGGGTCATCCCTCTGATAACTTGGGTGGTATTCTTGCGGTAGCGGATTGGCTTGCCCGTACCAATAAGGCTAAGGGACTTGCCGCACCTAAGATCAAGGATGTCCTTGAAGCCATGATAAAAGCACACGAAATCCAGGGATGCCTTGCCCTCGAAAACTCCTTCAACCGTGTTGGTCTCGACCACGTTGTTCTCGTCAAGGTCGCTACCACCGCGGTTGTGTCCAAGCTCCTTGGACTCAACCGCGACCAAACCATTGATGCTGTTTCACAGGCATGGGTTGATGGCCAGTCTCTTCGTACTTACCGCCATGTTCCTAACACAATGTCTCGAAAGTCATGGGCTGCCGGTGATGCTTGTTCTAGAGCTGTCAATCTTGCATTGATGGTTAAGAAGGGAATGGGAGGTATTCCGTCTGTCCTTACCGCCAAAACATGGGGTTTCTATGACGTTCTTTTCAAGTCCGAGGGCTTCAAGTTTCAGCGTCCTTATGGTTCATACGTGATGGAGAACGTCCTCTTCAAGATCTCTTTCCCCGCCGAATTCCACTCACAGACAGCTTGCGAAGCTGCCATGACTCTCCATAGTGAGCTTAAGCGCCTTGAAAAGACTACCGATGACATTGCCTCAGTCCGTATTCGGACTCAGGAAGCTGCGATCAGAATCATCGACAAGAAAGGACCTTTGAACAACTATGCTGATCGCGATCACTGCATCCAATACATGGTTGCTGTTCCCCTCATCTACGGCCGTCTCACTGCTCAGGATTACACCGACGAAGTTGCTTCGGATCCTAGAATCGATGAGCTGAGAGCCAAGATGGAGTGTGTGGAGGACAAGAACTACTCTCTTGAGTACCACGCGCCGGACAAGAGGAGTATCGGAAACGCCATTCAGATTACCCTCAACGATGGAACTGTGTTGGACGAGGTTGCAGTCGAGTACCCTGTTGGACACAAGTTCAGACGTGCGGAAGGAATCCCATTACTATTGGAGAAGTTTGAGAGACACGTTTCTGGCCACCTTGGAAAGGCGCAAACGGAAAAGATTATGAAGGCGAGTGAGAAACTAGAGAGCGTCCAGGAGTTGGACGTAGATGAGTATGTCAATCTGTATGTCACAGAGAAATAAGTGTAGGGTAGGATATTTTCTTGAAATTTAGCTATAGAATGAGAAATAATCATTCGGTTTGATGATACCTTTAACAAAACTCGTTAAGGAAAGCACATATTATAGTGAGCTTAATTGCTACTGTGACAAAAATATTATCGGATACCCTTAGCGCGAACTTTGTTTGAGGGCCAAACTTACAACCCAAGACTTCCTCTCAGCCTTCGCGAATGTAGCTAAGCTGCCACACCGACGACTATGTAGTGAGCGCGCAGAGGAAACATGGTGCATTTCTCTCGCCTTCGGCTAGGTCTTTTATTTTTATTGAACACAATTCATTTTATAGGGTTATATTGAGGGGACGTTGCATATTATTTTGTTGGGACTGTTAGTGCGGGCCCGTCTTGTGGTGCAGTACTAATGCTTGGCAGATGGCGTTTTCAAAACCGGAACTCTAGTTTTAGTAGCATCAGTGGGTACTAATTAAAGATCGATCTCACGGATTTATGTAGAGCACACCATTACGCATTACCTTTGCTATAATAATTATGTAATTGAGTGTTCTAGAGACTTTACCTCGAGTATTATAATATATGTAAATATCGACATTTCCCACTTTAGCGCAGTGGCACTTGAGCTAGAAGTGTATACATACATACATGTATTTACATATAAGTAGTTTCCCAAAACAATAAAATACACTAAGAATCGTAGAGGTAATAACAGGCTCTCGTTCACAATATGTTTTTCATAGAACAAAAAGCTTTAGATATTTGCCTATGCTCTTATCTCCGATATCTACTCCAGCTGTTTCGGTATATCATAAACTACATGTATCTGTGTATTATTCTTTCCCCATGAACTTGATAATCAGATTATCCTAAGCCAGCTCTCATTGACCTTCGAGCTCTATTGCTAAAAGTAATTGATATCCGTAGAATCCATGACGCCGACGAATAGCCAAGAATAATATGCGGTTTAAAGCTCCTTTTCCTGTTTTCGTTTTACCCTCTCTCCTTCGGTGACAAAGGCGATAATAAACTTCTCAAGCATTCCCGCTCCAGTTTTGATGCTATACGGATCGTCTTCAGGAGGCACATGCAGAAATAACACCCTCCTTGAAGAGTGTTCGGCACACCGCAGCGACGTGCGATATATATATTCACATAAGAAGCGGCCAGCATTAGTCGACTCTTTAAATACGAGCTGTTTTTCGGGCGTCTCCTCCGGCTGTACCCGTCGCTGTAAGTATCAAACTACCCTTACAAAAGCTATAGGGTAGGAACATACCACAATCCCACAGGCATCCATCATTCCGATAATCCTTTCTATATCTAATTCCGTCTTATAGACCTGTCCTCCGTCCGCGTCTTCTATGGCACACTTCCCCGTGTCGCCAGTCTCGTTCTTCTTTTCCTTTTCTGGGTCCGCCTTTTTACCACCCGGGATCAGGCCGTCAATATCACCCTTCACATATCCTTTTTCGTGGGCGACTGTCTCAATCTCATAGTCTCCGGGAAGCGCGACACCGATGTGGAGAATGTAATCAAATTTTTTTTCCGCGTGAAGCGATGGGATAAGGGTATCGATAGTTTCGTAGGCGACCCTGACAGGGGCGGGGTGTGGGATTATAGTAATGTCGTAGATATCGGTAGAAACAGAAGCTGAAGGAAGGAAGGAGGAGACTATTTGCCAGGAAGGGTTCTCGGTGAAGTTCCGGAACGGCTATGTATATCGGGCGTTAGCGGTTTTATGAGACTAAAAGGAAGGCTGAAAACGAACCCCGAACCCGGTAAGATAAACTGTGATGGGTTTCTTTGATACATCAGAAGTGGTGTCTGGAATGATTGGAGGCATGCTTTAGTGGTTGAGTGTGGAGTATGGTTTTCAACCTTTTTGGCAGCTTTCCTAAGGGAGTGGAGATCGATGGAGATGATGTGCGCGTGCGATGCCGGAGATGTGCCATATATATTACTAGAAACGATACTTAAAGCAATTTTGCGTTTTTAAGAAGTTTGCTCTGCACACCCTAGCTATTGTACCCTGCCATCATAGAAGAGGGCGAGCTTCCTAATACATGTATGTAGCGCGTTTGTTTCTGCGGGGTAATGAGATGATGTTAGTGCCTTTCTGCTTTAAAATCTTTAAGGCTTCCAAATACCGGCAAGTTCCCTACGGGTGTGTGACCAGGGTAGCAAGTAGAGTGCTACCCACCTGTCTTCGTGCTACACAACCGCAGATATGAGTGGGGGGTGCTTACCGACTGTTCCGCAGAACGGATGTCATCTCACGGAAACGGAATGCGTGCGCTTAATATCAACTCTTGTTAGAGAAAACCTTGTGTGTTATTATAATCCCTATTATCACTTCTGGTATTGAAATCGAGCGCTGCTAGCTAATTTTTTTGTTTCAGCTCATCTCGCCCCAATCCCAACCATATTTGATGGCTATATACATGTAGGTCAGGCCCTGCCTTAAATTTCCTTTATCACAGAAACCTATGTACTGAGGACTGGACAAACCCTGACAGCTGTTTGTCATTAACGAGTGCTAGGATCACGTATAATCATCAACCATATTGTTTAAATTTTTCTCACATCGACAGACTGATAGTCCTCATGTAGAGTAACACACTGTTCAACAGTGCGCTTTTATTTTTAGCTACACATAGGTACTCTACCAATTTTTCCCAATTCCCAGCACTCCACTCCCCTCTCTCATATTTCAAATCCCCATCAAGCTTGGTACCTAACCAAAGAGAACAATTTTAGGTCAACGCAGAATCGACACCAGTATAGGCGAGCTTCCTGTTGAAATAATCATCCCACAAAAGCGGGGCATCGTATGAGGGGAAGGTGCTGTCGACCCAAGAATTCTGCAAATCTTTTAGCTTCGATTCTAAAGTCGAATCAAGAAAGGAACTTCTTTGCTTACTGCATCACTGACACCCCAGACGGTGATACCAACACACTTGCTAACTCCCAAACAAGCATTTGTGACAGTGTTGTAGTCGGTCTGCTGCTGGGCCAGTTTCGCAGAGGTAACATCTTTCGGAATGCGAATATCAAGCTCGGTGATTGCAACATCGAGACCAGTGTTTGCAAGGACTTGCAATTGAGCAGCAACGCCGCCAACCTGACCAAGGATCAAATGTGCCTGAGTTCCGATACCATCGATGGGAACACCACGGGACTGAAGCCTCTTGACAAGTGCAACAAGATTGGTGATCTTTGCGCCGGGACCATCAAGGTTATAGTCATTGATATAGAGCTTCGCAGCAGGATCAGCTGCACGGGCGGCAATAAAGGCAATGTCGACAAAGCTCTCGCCGAGGACTTTATAGAAGACCGATGTACGAAAGTTACCGCTGTCATCGAAAATCTCATTGACAACGTCCCAGGCGTAAATCTTGCCCTTGTACCGGCTCATAAGGGTCGTGACATGGTTTTGAATGACCGAAGTCAAAGTGGCTTTGTCGGTGATAGCTGAGACCCATGATGGGAGCTGTGAGTGCCAGACTGGTATCGAGTAAGCATGGTTATCCAATCTTTCAAGAATTGTCGCAAAGCCTACCAAGGGTATGTCCACGAATGAGACGACCGTTATTTGTGGCAAAGGCAACGGTCTGATCAGCGTTCGTAAAAGTGAATGATCCCTTGGAAGCTTCATGAAGTGAAATAAGTTAGACTTTAAGGTTGAAGATGAAAGTGACTATAGAGGAGAAAATTACGTTCAGTCGCATCCCATTTCATACTGTTCTCAGGGGTGATTGCGCCAAAATCAGACTTGAGGATAGTCTGAACATTACTATTGGACAAGGTGTTAGGGTCCGCGATGGATCCAAAATACTTCTTGCCTTTGGCAACCATCTTAGTGTTCAAAAGCCCAAAGACCATGTTGGGAGCCAACATGGCTGCGAGAATTGCGGTAGTCTTCATAGCAAAATTGTTGGGGGTTGACGTCTTATGATTGATGAAAGACTGATGGCCTGAATGATGATGAGATTTCGATACTTTGGGGGAGCATCTAAAGGTTTATATAGCTTCCACCATTGAGTGTAAGTGGGTCTAATTGCTTCCTATAGCTAACACCATATATTCACTGTCTAAACGCTTTGACTGCAATGGTTTGATTGAGCAGGGAAGCTTCGACGACTGTCGGAAGTAATGTCCATTCTCTCCGGGAACGAAGAGGCTCACGGCCCGAAAATCACTCCTAAAAATCAATCCGCCCGTCCGTGGCTATGGTGTCTCTCCTTAAGTTGGTTGAATAGAAATGATAACATGACATGGCAATATGAGGATTCCTTGCTTCCCACAAGTCCGAGATCAGGTACACTTCTCCAGAAGGATCACCACTAATTCTCCGAATTAGCCTGTTTATGACAGAACCACATGGCTAGAAGAATATTCCGGGCGGTACGTATTTCGGCAAAACTTCCCCACATTTACAAATATCTTCTAGGCCCAGTCTTGAGATTCGCATATACTATAAAGTGGGTTGCAGTATAAAGTCTGCAGTTTCACAGATGGTGAGACTCACCTAGCACCTACATAAACCAAGCTCACATTAGCCTGTTCGGGGGCTTCCAAATTAACCCTCCCGCTGCAAATCGGAGATTTGAAGGGACAAAATAAGGGCGATATGCCTGAAATACCCCACAATAAAGTCTTATTTCTACCCAAGTCCGTGAGTGTTATGCATACTAAGCATACCAGGGTAGATCGAGGCACTATAATCCTAGAATATTGAATTTAACCTCACATTTATCCGTATCTAGCATCTTCGCAAAGTCTCCGACTAGACAGAGGTTAAAAGATTACTTAGGCAAGGTTGCCGATAGACTGAGCGCCGAAAGCTTCGCAACCTCGGATTATAAGTCTGCATTTCCACGGAGATTCCGGGAGTGGTTCCAGGCCATTGATAATTATCAACGTCGTTTAAGGCCACCAAAAGCATCCTCTTCAATTAATCTAAGGTGTTTCTATGTACTTACAGTCTAAGGAAAGTACCTATCACAG